GAGAGTATCAACCACATCTTTTGCAAGTTGGGTTTGAAAAACGCTCTCCACGATCAAACAATCGCTGTCTGTAGAAGCCGGTGATTTCGATGACTCATTCCTCGAATGTTCTAAGAAGGAAAATCACGTAAAACATAAGAAAGTACCTTTGCACATTTGGTGAAATTGGTAGACGTTAACTACGTGTGACTTAACTTACCTATGATAGAATCTGTGACTGGATCCCTGACTAACATTTGCAGTGTTGCGCTCAAGTAACAAGTACTGCCAAGATTTTTAATTCCTTTTCTATCAGCAATCGCCCTTGAAGGGACAAGCGGAGGCAATTTACAATATATATTTACAATATTTATAATATTTACGTCATTGAAACTGCTTTTGCTTTCCCTTTTCTCATTTGGGAAAACATTTAGTCTTACCTTCTGAAAAGAGCACCCCCCTTCGCATTTTTTGCCGTTGTTTTCCTGAAGTTGTTTTTAAAAGGTACGAATTAGTCGAAGGCCACTTCAGGTTCATTTTCATTTTTTATCAATATTATTATTAATGATACCATTACTTTCCCTTACCTTTTTCTTTATATGGCCTAATTAAAAAAGTTATTTCTGATCTACCTCTGTTTCCTGGTGCGACGCCTTTTCTGCACGCGGGGTGTACATGCATGCCGTGTGGCTGAAGTTGGCGACGTACTGCTGCAATTGCGAAACGGGCAAACGATCAAAAGTTGCAAATTCGACTAAGTAAGGTGTCCCATTGTCGTAATAAAATAAAAATAATGCAATGCCCTACCTTTTCTGTTCGTCATTGGCGACATTGATTTCAGTTGCCGTAGGGGAAGGTGATCTGCTTCTCCTTTAAGGAAAAAATAGGAATTAAAATTTATTTTATGTACGGATATATTGATACGATATATTAGAGGTTTGCGGAACTTTTCCAACGGAAAGCTGCATAACTGATAAAGTGAAAATATTTCATAAACAGTACCCATTCTGTTCGTCACCAGCGACATTGATCGGTGTAGTTGGTTCAGGGGAAGGTGATCTGCTACTCCTTTAAGGACAGAAGGAATCAAAAATTTAGCTCATACAGCGGAGATGGATATATTGATACAATAAATAAGRAGTTTGTGGAACTTCTCCCAAAACGCTGTATAAAGTGATAACATTTCATGAAAAGTACCCTTTCTGTTCGTCACCGGCGACATTGGTTTTATTTGTCTTAGGGGAAGGTGATCTGCATCTTCTGTAATAAAAAAGCAAATATTTAAAAAAATAAAAAAATAAAAAATGCACAAAGTGATGGGAAAATACCTTTTCTTCTTCAACACGTTGGGCGTTCCTTTTGGTGAAGCTGATCTACTGATGTAGCGATAACAAATAAATAGCGTTTTGGAGTGTTGTGGCCTTTAATGAGTGGTTGCTCAAGAATCTAGTTTAACAACATACCTTCTTATTTGCTTCTTTCTTTCCTTTGCAGTTGTTTTCGTCGAAAGGTTTATACTTATGGTGAAAAAAATATTTTCAGTTGAACATGGAAGAAACATGATTGTATAAGCCCCTTTACGGTTTAAGAGTCGTCTCCAGTGCGCATGCCATTTTATCCCGAATTTCTCACCTTCTTTTGCTAAATCAAGAACAAAAAGGTTGAAACAAACGAAGGTGAGAAAATTGGGATTAAATAGCATGCACACTTAAGACGATTCTTAAACCGTAAAGCGGCTTATAGGAATTGCTTACATTCTGAATCATACCGTTCATTATGTTAAATTAGTATAGAGTGATAAAAAACAAGATGCGAGGAATAAAGAAATGACATCGCTCTTTTTACCTTTCATCTTCCAGTGTTTGGGGAAGTCCCTTCTGGGGTGGTCGCTGGAAACGCCCCACCTTGTTTACGTTGTTTGTGCGTTTCCGCTTCCCCCACTTTTCCTCGACAAGGTTGTGCAGAACATCGTTAGGCTTTGCAAAAGAAAACGAAATTTATTTCAAATAGCAATGTAGATTGGAATTTCCTTTTAACATTTTGTGTGTTCGAATTCTTCATGCTCTACCTGTTTGTCGTCGTCTATTGCAGGGTCGTTGAGTGCCCTAGACACTCTCTTTTTCTGACTCCTAGACAGATGTTCCTGAAGATGAAAGAAAGCCAAAATTGAAGGACATTATGTGGAGAAGCCAAAACTATTGAAAACTTTTTATCTTACCTTTTCGTTGGAAGATGTTAAATACGACTCCGTGAATAATCGTTGACGCCCAAGAATATGACTGTATTGCTGCATTACAAACACATCTGGGCGGAAGTGCGACTTCCTTAAGAAGTCATCCACTTTGACGAGTTTGAACCAGTTTTCACAAACAGCATTTGTAGACCTTGAAGATTTTGACATCACCTACAAAGATGCAAATGGCATAAATATCAACTAACGAGCTATTCCCTATGTTCTCGATTTCATTACTTTGTGGCCTTAGAAAATTTTATCGTATTTATAGCGTTTGATAGAAGGGAAGCGATTTTATTACGACCATTGTTGTTATTGTTGTTGTTGTTATTTTTGTTATGTCGAAAAACTTGTACCTCACAATAACTAGTTTTCTTTCCTTCCTTTGTCACACACTGATCTTTGCTGTGTTCAATTCCTGCAATAAAAGCGCAATAGTGAGTTTCTGCGACGAAAATTGCAACCACCGTTATCATTAGCTTCATATGGTCCCAGTACCACAAACAAATAAGTAGCATAGGCGCGGCAGACCAAGCTCGATAGCGTCTTGTCTGTCTTGTGTGTTCTTCAATGGTCTTTCACTAGCTTTTTTAAATTTTCACGCGGTTATACAGTGCCCATACACATTTGCACATTAGTTAATGAAGAAATAATGGTCAGGCTCTTCAGGGCGGCATTATTACTCCTTACTTTTGGAATGGACATCAGCGCTGTGCCGTTAAACTTCATGGAAATATATGTAATGATGATAGATCATTAATATCACCCTGGAACACAAACACACCTTTCATTAATCCGGACCAAAGGGGAAGAGTTGGGATTCGGTGTTTCAGTATGACGTCCATCACCTCCGGTGCATGAAATCGATTCTTTTTATCTGTGGTTTTTGCATGTAATTCTATTACGACTTTCTGTTTGGTCAGCAAATCATGGAAATGCTTTTTGAAAGGACTGCCTGGTGACTCAAAATTAAACTGCTCTTCATCTGAGGAAGCTGAATCTTCGTTCTTAGGGGGGTCATCTTCATGTGCAGGGGATAGCAATTTTTCTAAGGCAGTATCCTTCAAACATCCTGTATCTGCTTGCGGACAACCTTGTTGAGACAATCTGTGGTGTAGCCATTGATAAGCAGATACAGCGAATTTGCTGGCAGTGGGGCTGGTCAGTACACTGTTGAGGTTGGTAATAATTCCTTCGGCTTCATCCAGGTTAGAAGAATTCACAAGCAAAGCAAAGCAATGCATGGAGAAGACAAACACGTCGTTGGAACATCTTTATTGACATAGGGTAAATAAATTGAGTGAGTAAATTGATAACACTGTACACGAGGGACAACATTATAATCGTAACTGAAATAGTCCTGTAAGGAACTTAAGTTACACAACAGCAACTTACACCTCATCTACAAGAAAGTCGTTTTAACAAAATAAGAAATAGGAAAAAAAGTATGATTCTCTTCATGAAGAGAATATCTATCTTACCCACTATAGCACCAAGGCAATATGAAAAATAACACACGGGGTTTAATTTTTTGGTGGAAGTAGCGTTATGAATGATGAGTGCTTAAATTAAAGCAATGGGATACGCACTTCATAAGGAGGGGTTAAAATGTATTTGAGACCATCAATGCACCGCGAACAAAAAATATTTAAAAATCTCAGCTGGTTACTTACAGTTTCTTAAACTTAATGCCAATGTCATGCATCACGTGGCTTGTACAAGCATGAGGGTTCATCTTGGAGGAATCCCCGGCCTTCGGCTGCTTGATTGAAATCCGCCAAGCTCGCAGTAGAAAGTCCCTCATGGTTTCTCCGTTTATTACCCAAAGTGAGGTCAATATAAAAGTTAAACTTAAATCACTTTCAAAGCGTAGTGGCACTTTCAACTGACGATAGCCAAATACAACTTTCTCGGCATAACGGAAAAGGGAAAGGAAATGGGTAACATTGGGCACATTGTGGCTATTAGTTATCATTTCGGCTACCGCCAGCGGTGGTTGCCCAGCAGTGGGATGTGGAAGAACGATGGCATAGTAATAGACATTTCCCTCGCCCACACATTTCTTCACCAACGACCCAGTGGCATCCCAGTGAATGGTAGTAGTAGATGCAAGGTCGTGCCACAGACGAACTCCGGCCTCCGTCCACAACATTATTGTGAAGGGGTCAAGAGAAACATACTGGACATATCCCAAGATCTTCCTCCCTTTAGCATGGTTGGTACCGATTGCTTCTGCTTTAGTAACATCTTGCTGGCGCAGAGTTTGCTTGAGTCGCAAAAGGCTAGTTATTAGGTCTCTGTCGATTTCGTGTTTGGTTTTTGCCTCTGCGGATATTTTGCGCAAAACACCAATCGAACCAACGCCGTCCCTATTTCCAGAACCAAAGACTTGAGGCTCTAAGTTAGCTAGGTGTTGGTGGTAGAAACGGGATGGCGTATTCGCTTCAAGTTCCGTCTTAAGCTGTTCCCTTCTTGGAGCTCTGATATACCGAGAACAGGGACGAGTTGTTGGGTGTTTTAACACTCCCTGGTTAGGAAACATTAACAATCTTGGCTACCTCGTTTTCTGGTGTTATTACTAATGCCACAGAAACCGTGCACTCCTTTTGCTTGCAGGTTGCAAAGCATTTTAAAAAGGGTGCATTTTGTTTTTGTGAATTCTCGACTTTCAACCTATTATACTTGAAGCGGAAAGAACAAAATGGGTTCGATTCCTTGATCTTTTTAGAAAAAAGGTCCGCCCAAGAGCCAGTAAGACGGCGACCACCAGAAGGAAGATCTTTAGGTGTTATAGACAGCCATTCCGAAGGGGAAAGGGCAAAAGTTGCCCTATCGGGTAGGGTTTCTACAAACAAACCACTATCTTCTACGTCCGTTGATCCCAAAACCGAAAGAGTGGCAGTACTGATGGAAGCCTGTAAACGTGAAGAGATCATATAAGAAGTTGAATATGTGCATGGGATACTTTATGTTTTAGAATCTAACCTTTTTATTTGTCTTACATAAGCTAGGCGATGGTAATACTAGACCCAACTTATCTTTCGTGTTGTCTGTTTCCTACAAAATTTTCAGATATTCATATATTATTAAATGGAAAAACTTAATTGCGCAGTCACTGACTGTAACCTCACCTTATTCCATAAAGATTTAGCATACCTCTGAGTAGCAGCTTGTCGCCGAAGAGATGGGAGACATATGAAATCCCTCGAACAAATTGCTGTCCTCTTCCTCTTCAAATAGATCCTATAAAATTGATTATACGCTCACGTGAGGTCGATATGTTTGCTTGTTTTTTATTTTTTATTTTTTTGCAAATGAAAGAAAAAGGTTAGAGGGCGTGGTGTGAGTTAATGATTAAATTTCGAAGAGAGAGCATGAATATTACAACGTTATTTCAGAAAACATAWTGAAAAGAATCCTTGTTATATGCCACTTACCCCACAAAAAGTGCTCTCAGTAGAGGATACGGGAGACATATGAAAGTCTGCAAACAAGTAAGGGGTCTTCCCCTGACAATATAATGTAATCATTTAATWAATGTCATGGTAGGCATGCAGAAACTTTTTGAACAGGAGCTTTTTTTGCTCTCACTAAGCTTGTCTCATAAAAGATATCACTGTGATTACATTTACTTTATTTAACGTCTATTTTTTCGGCATACGCTTTCGATATAGTAAATTAATTGAGGATAAGAACTAATCTAAATGCATAAAAAAACAATGGAAATTGAAAGCAAGCAATGCAYGATTTATATCACTGCATAATAATGAATTAAATAGATTTTAGACCAAAGGCGTAGCCGCTTGTCCAGTCTGGACATTTGTTTTACAGAAGTCTCGCACAAACTAGAATTGCAAGGGCATTTCTAGAAGGCATGTCTAACCTTATGTGCAGTACACGCAGATGGAGAAAAAGGAGATACCGCAAGGCTGTCTGTGGAAGAAAAACTGGACTTCCTTTTCTATGGGAGAGAGAGAGAGAGAGAGAGAGAGAGAGAGAGAGAGAGAGAGAGAGAAAATGATATCATTTCATGGAATATGTCTTGGGACGTTGATCTTCTGAACTGACAGATGAAGCTAGCGATAGAAAAGGAAAGAAAAGATCCTTTCATCCTCCCTCCTCCCTCCCTTCCTCTTTCGTTCATTCGTTCATTTGTTTGTTCGTTCGTTCCTTTCTTCCCTCGCTCATTCCAACCCCATACTTCCTTTATTCCATGTGGTGGATGTTTTGTGATACTGACCTGTGACGAAACGCTTTCGGTACACGAAATGGGGGACAAATTTGGAGTCTCAGTTGTCGTGTCCTAATGTAAATTGAAACAGGTTTTAATACCCATCAAATAAAAGCTGTCAAATGTGTAATAAAAACTAACGAGAAGAAAATATACAATCAAATATAATACCATAACAATAAATAACGGCAACAATAACAATGAAACTGATGTGATAATGGTGATGATGATGATTTTTTACTCGCAGTCCTAATGCAAGACATTTTTGTATGCAAATGGTGTAAAAACGTTAATGCAATTGTTTTGACAAACGCTGTTTTTAAATAGGGGAACAAACACACACACACATATATATATATATATACATATAAACTTAAACGTTCAATATACATACATTAGACGGAAGTATTTCAGATTTTGGAATGGGAACCATTATGACGGATGGGCGGGAAGAGGTATGTAAATTACTAGATGGTCGATGACGAGGGTTCAAGTTTGCTTCATGCCATGTTGGAAAAAGCGACACATCATCACTAACAACCGTGTCCGCATCGCTATAATCGCTTTCTTGGAGTGATAATGTGTGGAAGTCGATGTTGTCTTCCACCGTTAGCGGCTCTGCTCTGGYCCATCCCCCACCGCACTGGAGTTCTTGCAATCTGGGGACGGGGAGGGGTAGGGAAATGTTCGATTCCCTCTGCCAACGTACTTTCCCAATAGCATGAACTATCGTGTCTCTGCATAAGGTTTCCAAAGACACTGGTTCTGAAKAATACACAAGAAGCAATGGTATTTGCTTTCATTAAACAAACAACATAACTAAGCATTGGATAAGAGAAGTGGAAGTGACAATTGAAAACAAGACTTACCATTGCAATCGGCAAACCATCCTTGAGATGTTTCGTATCCCGGATGCCAGACCGGCTTCAGTACCAATGACGTGAAATTGGTTCGAGAAAATTGGTRTACGAGTTCATCGGCAAGAGGATTGGATGGTCCCAGCAATTCATCCACAATGTTGGGTTCAAATCTGATCGAAATTCTTACTAGCGGGGAAATATCTCCAGTCGCTAGATCCAGAGGATCAAGAACAATATCTTGCCCGCACAATCGAATCCTCACCCTACTGTCACGTAAAAGTRCTGTCGCCAGCGAATCATTTACGTGAAGCAGTAGGTCTTGCATAATAAAGAATGCACAACATGAAAAGTACTGTTACTTTTAAATCGTTTGGGGGCGTTRGGCTTTGGGGACGCTGTAATTGTATATGTACCCGTTCTGAATATTTAGTTATCAGTTTTTCGCATTGTTCTTTTCATCAATTAGTAGTGTGTTTGTCGGTTGTACAGTCCAAGCCTGCCAATCCGARACTACCCTCACTTTGATACCCCTACACCGCTCTGATTTTCGTGAATGCATTGTTTATTTTAAATGTGTTTCTACATTTGATGTCACGAAAGATACTTCAGCGATCATTATCAACTTCCCACGATTAGTGTTTAGCATTCASCTACATAGCAACAATCTAACCGATATGATGGTAGGGTCTTTAACGGCTTCATCAATCTGTTTGAATGTGTATCATGAGTACAAAAAAAAGGCTGAAGTATAAAAACCAGGTTACGCAGTGAATAGAGTCTTACTGCATGCATTGTAAAAAAACGACTGGGAAGAAAGGATTTTGTTTGATTCCGTTAATGCAAGACAATACTGCCATATTTGATTAAACAAATATTGGGGTGACAGCGAAACATCCTCCTTTTTCGTGAAGGCTTCGTTAAATCCTTGTTACTTAACGACGTTTATATTACTACCGGAAAAAGATTAACAGTGACCTCCTAGACCATCTTATCAATAAGATTCTGTTTGAGTGATAAATGGGTGATAATTGGAAATGTTATTAGAAGTAGTTATCACATTGCTTATCTTGGCGTGAAAACCGCACGCCTTCTTTTGTGTGTTCAGATCATTGAGCTAACTAAACCCTACAATCACGTATTGTAATCTGCTTTGTAACATGATCACTCTCTCACGCGGCGTGACAGAAAAATCTGACTCAAAAAAATCTGACAACAAGTGATATTTCTTGGGGAGACTAGATTTTGACTTGCAAATGCGTTCATGAAGATCCCGTAGAAATGACGCTTGTTGGGAGATGTCAAAATTCAAGAAAAATATAATGGTCGAAAAGAGAAATTTGTGGATCACTCTCTCACGCGGCGTGACAGAAAAATCTGACTCAAAAATCAGACATCAAGTGATATTTCTTAATGCTTTTATGTGTACTGCTTCATCGATAGTTTATTTGGACATCAAACTACGGCTTGGCTTATTCGACGTAAAGCATGGATATTTTTCGTTAAGCAAAAGTGCGTCAACATTTTGAAATAAAAGGGTTCGGTATGGGAGCGGTACTCGAAGTATTTGTGGCATGAAGCCCGTTGATAGTAGATAAAACAGCTCAAAAAATCTGAAACCGCTGTTTATTTTCTTTGAGGTGMGTGTTTCGATCCCCAAAGACAACGAATCTCAAGAAATATCGTGTGAGTAAAGCTTGGTGTGGGTTTTATAGTAAATCAAAGCGTTTCTTCGAATATAGAGCACTTTGTGTTCAACATGATGTGACGCCCCCCGGAAAAAATCTGACAGTAGATCCGAAAACCTGACTCAAAAATCTGACTCTAAAACCTGACACCAACTTCACTTTGGTTTGTTTTGTCCCCCAGGTTGAGCTGCATTCCAAAGTGATTCAAAGAGTCTATATATTGACGATTTTTTAAACTCCAGTGTATGCGGGCTTAAGGATACACGGAACACAATCGGGTTGGGTTTTTTGAACGCTCATAGCGCGTTTAGTTTATATAAATTTCCCCATAAAGTATACATTTTCTAACAGCTTAAAGTTCAAATATTCCATATTCGATTTTACTTTTGGACAAAAATAATTCATTTTGGATAAATCGGGCATTGATTGCAAACGCTATGGTTCGACGCGAGATGTTTGTTGTCCCTCTGGTTAGCGTAAACGGATCAAATTTTTTTTTGCATCTTATTACACGTATGTTGTTCTACCAAAGTGTGTCTGCGTTTTTTCTTTTAGCGCTTCTTTAATCTTTTATTCATTTCCAAAGTTATAACTACATGTTTTTAAGGGTATTCTTGAGAAAATGGCAAATATCTGAGAAAAGAAAAGGAAAATRACAAAACGCAGACACACTTTTAAACTCGAGCATAGTAGGAATCCACATGCCAAGTTTCACGGTAATTGATCAAAAACCGAGGGAGAATAAACCTTCTGAAAATGTGTATTTTACCAAAAACTACTTTTGAGAAAAACACAAGTTTAGTTTAATGGGATAAGTTTATTTACTGAATGTTGACAAGTTTCTGCACAGTACGCCAATGAGCGTAAAGTAAGTAATATGATACCGGACCATGGCCAGGACAGCGGGTAYACTGTACTTCCGGTCTCAAGCTTATTGACCTTCGCGTCGCGGTGTTTACCTAAATCTTGAAGTTCGTTTCGAGTTCATGATGGTCAAAACCAGAGGTCGAACATCTAGTTCAACTGAGGGGGGCCGAGGAAGGGGCCGAGGAAGAGGCCGAGGAAGAGGCCGAGGCCGAGGGCGAAATGCTGAGCAAACCAGAGAACAACCGGATGTTTTGTCGTTCTTCTTCTCCCTCTTCTTCCTTCGATGCCTGGTTCAATTCTTCGTCTTCGCTTCGGCCTAGAAGCTTCTTGGCACTAGCACTGGCACTATCACTTCGCTTAAAAAGCTCTTCTCTCTTATAGTAAGAGCCTTTGTCGCTCAAAGAGAGTGATTTTGCATTCTCATGACAGAATGCTGTGGAGCTACGTCTTCTTTTCCTTTYGTTAGAACCTCCACAGAAAGGATTTCTCTTTTGCTTACGAGGCATCTACCAACACTGAGATCCCACGAAAGAATTAAAAACAAAACTGAAGAAATCTAGTAGAAGTAATCAATCTTGATAAATAGCTAAACTCTGTAAATAT